TATAGACTCACAACCCTATGCTTGTCTGACTGTGGTAATTCTAGAACAGTATAGACTCACAACCCATGCTTGTCTTCCCGTGGTGATTCTAGGACAGTATAGACTCACAACCCATGCTTGTCTGACTGTGGTAATTCTAGAACAGTATAGACTCACAACCCATGCTTGTCTGACCGTGGTTATTCTAGGACAGTATAGACTCACAACCCATACTTGTCTTCCCGTGGTAATTCTAGGACAGTATAGACTCACAACCCATGCTTTTCTTCCCGTGGTGATTCTAGGACAGTATAGACTCACAAGCCCATGCTTGTCTGACCGTGGTGATTCTAGGACAATATAGACTCAAAACCCCATGCTTGTCTTCCCGTGGTGATTCTAGGACAGTATAGACTCACAACCCATGCTTGTCTGACCGTGGTGATTCTAGGACAGTATAGACTCACAACCCATGCTTGTCTTCCCGTGGTGATTCTAGGCCAGTATAAACTCACAACCCATGCTTGTCTTCCCGTGATGATTCTAGGACAGTATAGACTCACAACCCATGCTTGTCTTCCCGTGATGATTCTAGGACAGTATAGACTCATAACCCATGCTTGTCTTCCCGTGATGATTCTAGGACAGTATAGACTCACAACCCATGCTTGTCTTCCCGTGATGATTCTAGGACAGTATAGACTCACAACCCCATGCTTGTCTTCCCGTGGTGATTCTAGGACAGTATAGACTCACAACCGATGCTTGTCTTCCCGTGGTTATTCTAGGACAGTATAGACTCACAACCCATGCTTGTCTTTCCGTAGTGATCCTAGGACAGTATAGATTCACAACCGATGCTTGTCTTCCCGTGGTTATTCTAGGACAGTATAGACTCACAACCCCATGCTTGTCTGACCGTGGTGATTCTAGGACAGTATAGACTCACAACCCATGCTTGTCTTCCCGTGGTGATTCTAGGACAGTATAGACTCACAACCCATGCTTGTCGGCCGTGGTGATTCTAGGACAGTATAGACTCACAACCCATGCTTGTCTTCCCGTGATGATTCTAGGACAGTATAGACTCACAACCCATGCTTGTCTTCCCGTGGTGATTCTAGGACAGTATAGACTTACAACCCCGTGTTTGTCTTCCCGTGGTGATTCTAGAACAGTATAGACTCACAACCCATGCTTGTCTTCCCGTGGTGATTCTAGGACAGTATAGACTTACAACCCATGCTTGTCTTCCCGTGGTGATTCTAGGACAGTATAGACTCACAACCCATGCTTGTCTTCCCGTGGTGATTCTAGGACAGTATAGACTTACAACCCCATGCTTGTCTTCCCGTGGTGATTCTAGGACAGTATAGACTCACAACCCCATGCTTGTCTGACCGTTGTGATTCTAAGACAGTATAGACTCACAACCCCGTGTTTGTCTTCCCGTGGTGATTCTAGGACAGTATAGACTCACAACCCCATGCTTGTCTGACCGTTGTGATTCTAAGACAGTATAGACTCACAACCCCGTGTTTGTGTCCCCGTTGTGATTCTAAGACAGTATAGACTCACAACCCATGCTTGTCTTCCCGTGGTGATTCTAGGACAGTATAGACTCACAACCCCATGCTTGTCTTCCCGTGGTGATTCTAGGATAGTATAGACTCACAACCCATGCTTGTCTGACCGTGGTGATTCTTGGACAGTATAGACTCACAACCCCATGCTTGTCTGACCGTGGTGATTCTAGGACAGTATAGACTCAAAACCCATGCTTGTCTTCCCGTGATGATTCTAGGACAGTATAGACTCACAACCCATGCTTGTCTTCCCGTGATGATTCTAGGACAGTATAGACTCACAACCCATGCTTGTCTTCCCGTGATGATTCTAGGACAGTATAGACTCACACCCCATGCTTGTCTTCCCGTGGTGATTCTAGGACAGTATAGACTCACAACCCCATGCTTGTCTGACCGCGGTGATTCTAGGACAGTATAGACTCACAACCCATGCTTGTCTGACCGTGGTGATTCTAGGACAGTATAGACTCACAACCCCATGCTTGTCTTCCCGTGGTGATTCTAGGACAGTATAGACTCACAACCCATGCTTGTCTGACCGTGGTGATTCTAGGACAGTATAGACTCACAACCCATGCTTGTCTTCCCGTGATGATTCTAGGACAGTATAGACTCACAACCCATGCTTGTCTTCCCGTGGTGATTCTAGGACAGTATAGACTTACAACCCCATGCTTGTCTTCCCGTGGTGATTCTAGGACGGTATAGACTCACAACCCCGTGTTTGTCTTCCCGTGGTGATTCTAGGACAGTATAGACTCACAACCCCATGCTTGTCTGACCGTTGTGATTCTAAGACAGTATAGACTCACAACCCATGCTTGTCTTCCCGTGATGATTCTAGGACATTATAGACTCACAACCCATGCTTGTCTTCCCGTGGTGATTCTAGGACAGTATAGACTCACAACCCATGCTTGTCTGACCGTGGTGATTCTAGGACAGTATAGACTCACAACCCATGCTTGTCTTCCCGTGGTGATTCTAGGACAGTATAGACTCACAACCCATGCTTGTCTGACCGTGGTGATTCTAGGACGGTATAGACTCACAACCCATGCTTGTCTTCCCGTGGTGATTCTAGGACAGTATAGACTCACAACCCATGCTTGTCTTCCCGTGATGATTCTAGGACATTATAGACTCACAACCCATGCTTGTCTTCCCGTGGTGATTCTAGGACAGTATAGTTTCACAACCCATGCTTGTCTGACCGTGGTGATTCTAGGACAGTATAGACTCACAACCCATGCTTGTCTGACCGTGGTGATTCTAGGACAGTATAGACTCACAACCCATGCTTGTCTGACTGTGGTGATTCTTGGACAGTATAGACTCACAACCCATGGTTTTACGCAGTTTGTTTTATTGTTAACATTCAGTTAATTTTCATAAAGTATCTAATTTCGTCACGTTAATTAAATTACGCAAAACGGTTTGCGTAAATAAGGCATTTTTTAAGGTGCTAGTCCACGTGCAAGGTTCGGCCGACAGGGGCGCGCTAGGGATAGTCGTGATAGTTTTATGGGTGTGCATATCAACCACAGATTCCGGTCCTAACTGCAAATAATTGACCTAGTTTCAGATCGTTTTAAATTACATCGGAAAACTTCGCAACAAACTAAAGTCACGTTAATCGTTCATGATAATTATCTATTTTCTCAAAAATGTGAATTGCAATGATGTCAGTTACCCCTGACCCGCTTGAGACGCCGAAGTGTGTGGGGTGGGGTGGGGTGGGGAGGTGTGGGGAGGTGAGGGGAGGGGGTGGTGATGCCGTACTTCCAGGGCGTGTTTGGGCTACATGTCAAAATGCATCACCTGCTAGCAACTGCAGCCTGCGTGTGGCATATGCCGCAATAAGCACTTGAGGACCTTTGGCATTCGGATTGCAAAACAGACTTTAATAGTGTTATAAATAAACCTACAATTACAGACTTCCCATGATGATACACACACGAAGAATGCCTGTTGAGGTCTGGTAGACCTTTAGCCTGTCATACAGACCCTGAAACAAATAAATCCAATACAGCCCATGCAAGTCTATAATGTTTAGCAAGACTTAGTCTTAATTATTATCGGGGAGAAAGTCTCTGGGCTCCTTTTTATTATATTTTATAACTAAAATTTAACAACTGTTTTTTTCTGTAAAATATGTTTCAGAGACTAGATTTAAGTCTAGTAGACCGTATGCTTAATGCAATATCTGTGTAAAGAATATTAGAGCTCACTCGCACAACGCGATGGTAACAAAAGATGCCTCCAGTTACGGGATCTCATTGTCATGTTACAGGCTTGAAATGATACACTGCGGCTCTCCAGCAGACCATGTTGTCTGAGATTACGACACGTGGAACACAGATGCTATTTTGGACAATAACAAAGTAACGTGATATGGATGACAATGTAACGGAGATTCCTATCTGTACTCTGTACATGAATGTACTGTATGTTATTAGTGAGTGAGTGAGTGAGTGAGTTTGCTTTGAAGAGGATCCCAGTTATATCACGACACGTCAGCCTAATGTCGAGGAAGGCACGAAGTGATGCAAGTCCCAGACGTTTACCGCTTTAGTGAAAACCAAAAGCACGGGTATGGTGCTGACGAACCTAGAAACAGGGACTCGAAACCAGAAAAATAGGTTCCTGGCGTGTACAAGGCACAGAACTATACACAGCGAATTTCGGCGCCTTAAACGACTGGGCCACCTTGCATCGTATGTGAGTGAATGAGTGAGTGAGTTGGGTTTAACGCCGCTTTTAACATTATTCCAGTTATATCGCGGCGTGTCAGCTTAATGTAGGAGGAAAGCCCCAAGTGATGCAGGTCTTAGACGTTTACCACTTCGGTGAAACCCACGAGCACGGGTATGGTGCTGACAAACCTAGAAACATAATCGGGGCGAACCGGGATTCGAACCCACAATCTTAGGTTTCTGGCGTGCCCAAGGGACGCAACTCTGCACAGCGAATCGCGGCGCCTTAAACGACTGGGCCACCCGTGCCCCCGCATCGTATTTTAATATCTCTCATCTCTGCTTAACGAAATTAGTATGTTGACTAATCACTTATGCTGTACGTTTATATCAATGTAACAGAGACTCCTAGCTATACTCAAGAACATCAGTTTGTTGGTTGAGACTGACGCATCTCATACTGAAACCCACGAACACGTTTTTGGTACCGACGAACCTAGAAACATGTTCGGGCGGATAGGATTCGAACCAGAATCATATGTTTTTGGCAAACAAAGAGTTACGGTTAGACAGCTGGGCCACCCGTATATTTATACTCCCAGCTATAACCATTTATGTACATTTTGGTTGATACTGCCTCATCCCATATGTTGAATCTTTGTAACATAGACTCCCATCATAACGCAAGTACATCAGTTTATTGAGCGGTTTGAATAATACATTTGTCTACTTTCAGCTAGCACTATGGTGGCCGAGGGCTCCAAATACAGCCACCTCAACTCCTCCTACTTCTACGACGTCGACGTCGTGCACGGCTGGGGAAACAGAAGCTTCTTCACCTTCTTCTCCGAATTCAACCGAACATCTCCGAGTTTGGGCCGCCTTGAAGCCACGATTTTCTTCCTACTCACAGTTATCTCCCTTGTCGGAAACATCGTTGTGTTCGTGCAGCTCGTGCTACACAGACGAAACCGAGGCACCACCACATGCTTCATTTGCAACCTGACAATTGCTGATTTGTGTTTCACTGGAGTCGCACCCTTCATTGCGGTGACACGGATAACGGAGAAATGGGTGTTCGGGTCGGAAATGTGCAGTCTTTTAGTGTACATGGGATCGGTGTGCGCCTTCGTGGACATCTGGACGATGACTCTGATTGGTATTGACCGATACATGTGCATTGTCCGGCGGTCAAGAACAAGACTGACCCCAAGGTTGTCTATACTCATCCTCGGTGTTGTCTGGGCGTTCGCCTTCATCAGTTTCTCCCCTCTCGCCGTCTACTTCAACGTCAGGAGTGTCCCCATGGGAACCACCAAGGTCGACATATGCACGCTGGTGTGGCCGCGACAGAACAAGTTCAAAGTGTCTTTCCTCTTCACGTCCGTTGTGTGCATCTGTGGATTTATCTTGCCCTTACTTCTCCTGTCGTGGAGCTATTTCCAAATCTTTAGAAAGTTTTGGAACATAAGGGGCGTTATTATACAAAATCAAAGAAATCTGTCGAGCAAATGGATGAACTCTTTGAACGTAAGACGCCGACGTGACATCCGGGACTTTAAAGTTGTAAAAACCCTCTTCCTCTTGGTCCTGTTGTTTGGGATCATGTGGTCGCCCATCTTCATCTCCATGATCCTCATCCTGTATGATGGAGCTGCTGACACCATGATCATGTCATCTCAAGTATTCATTGCAACATACTGTGTCGCTGTGTGCAACGCCTGCATCAATCCATTTGTGTACGGTATTATGATGGAGCGATTGCGGACGAAACTTACGTCTTGTGTCACATGTTCAAGGTCAGGATCGTCTGATCCGGAACCGGAAGTCAGCCCCGACAAGCATGACAGTGTGCAGGTTATCAGTTATGGGGCAGAGACATGCGCACAGAACCCGCTCCGTGACCCTTGACTTGATCTCCCAAGCAACATGATCATCATAATCTATATAAATTATTTCATTTTTCGACACGACGTGTTCTGATCGTCAAAATAAAAAAACATTTATTCTGTTCACTTTACATTTGTTAACCTTAAAATGTGTTTTTTTTCCACTAGGATCCGTATCATATCTGGGTCTTCATTTTGTTTTCATTGTTTTTAACATATTTTAGAATCAAAAGTTTTTAATTTCTTCAATCTCATTCAGATCTGTAACTTCGATACGACACTTCTTGAAGACCTGAGGACTCCTCAATAAAATTCTCGAAGGTCGCGACACGGCGAACCCTGAACGCACTTTTACCCCCAAAACAAAATAAAGGATGCTAGCTTTCTGAGATAATTCGGCTTCATTTCGGATTTATTTATCTTTGCAAAGGAAAACGCCACAGAACACAAATATACACTATAGTACACCTGTTTTGGTGTAGATACCGTTGCGCTAAGAAACAACAATGGTATAAAATATCCACAATATAATAGGGCTTATTCTTTTGCATTCGGATGTCCCCGATTATATTCGTTTTCAAGATACAGAAATGAGATATGCTTGTCTTTCGCTTACTCGTCCGCCGTGATATTGATGGTATAATGCCAAAAGCGGCGTAAAACCATACTCACTCACTCGTTCCGAGAATTTAGAAGCTTTAACTCTAATTGGCTGAATTAAGAAATTTCACCTGGCGCGACATCCTATGGAAATGTCTTCAGATCTTCATGCAGAAAGGTATCGTCTAGGAGTACAAATATAAAAGATCTGATTTCAATGAGATTGTTATTTTTAAGTGATAAGCAATATAGTAACTGTTTTCCAGTCAGGATAATCCCGAGGCGTCAGTAATGAAACCCGTGAAACAGCTGGAATAATGCTAAAAAACACTTGAAACTCATGTCCTTTAAGGGCGGTCGGGTAGCATAGTGGTTAAAGCGTTCGCTCGTCACGCAGAAGACCCGGGTTCGATTCCCGACATGGATACAATGTGTGAAGCCCATTTCTGGTGTCCCCCGCCGTGGTATTGCTGGAATATTGCTAAAAGCGGCGTTAAATCATATTCACTCACTCACTCATGTCCTTTAATCGTGATTATTGGCCGTTCTGTATCCGATGGATGCATTCCCCGTGTCACTGTTGTTTTCTTGTGGATGTATTATCATCCATGCATGTACTAAGCTCATATCATCGTATCAGTTAAATGTATTGATATAATAAACATTATTCCGTGACACTCGTAATCTTGTTTTCTGAGTCTGAGGAAAATAGTGCGCGGTGCGAATGAATTCCCCGCTCATGTATCAATAACGTAGAGTGGATGAATGGTCACCTTTGTAAAATCGTTGTTCGAATCTTGCACTGTCAGAAACGGGTGCGTCTGCTTCAGACCTGTTTTAACCAGTCTGTACTAGTCTGATCATCATCAACCTATTCTTGTCGGAAGGTTGTTTCTTTGTTTGTTGTTTAACGCCGCTCTCAGCAATATTCCGGCCATACGACGGCGGTCTGTAAATAATCGAGTCTGGACCAGACAATCCAGTGATTGACATCAGGAGCATCGATGTATGCAATTGGGATACGATGACATGCATCAACCAAGTCAGTCAGCCTTACCACCCGATCCCGTAAGTCGCCTCTTACGACAAGCACAGTCACCTCTTACAGCAAGCATGGGTTGCTGAAGACCTATTCTACCCCGGATCTTCTCAGGGAGTGATATAACTGAAATACAGCAATGAAAGTTGCGCTAAACACAACACACTCTCAATGTCTAAAAGTCGGCTAAAGGGACGATGGGAGTGTCGCAATGTGGGAATTCTTTTCATTTCTTGTGCTGTCGAAAACCCATATTAATACCTTTGATAGTGTTAAGTGCGGCGTAAATCAACATTCACTCATCCATGCGTGACATTACCACATATCTACGGACTCGAACTCAATATTTCTCACACTGAAGTCTTATCTACATGTCCCCTTCGAGGTCTTAGGGCTTCATTGCAATTGCCATATATCAAGCCATCTCGGCTAATATATCCTCGTATCGAAGAGTTAGGCTTCAAGTGGTGTCAAGGCATCACAGTTAGTGTAACGCATCCACATTGCTTTAGATCTATACCGTCTGATAAAGCTTGTGCGCGCTCTTTCCAACTTGGGGCTGTCGGGTAGCCTAGTGGTAAAGGCGTTCGCTCGTCACGCCGAAGAATCGGGTTCGATTCGCGACATGGGTACAATGTGTGAAGCCCATTTTCTGGTGTCCCCGCCGTGATATTGCTTGAATATTGCTAAAAGCGGCGTAAAACCATACTCACTCACTCACACCGCTTCTGTCATGCTGCAGATTGTTCACAATGCGTGTGAAGTGAATGGGTCGCCCGTGGATAGTGAAGCGTCAGTAAAATACCACTTATCCTTTCCTTTTATGCAAGCGCAGTATTCGACTGACATCTAGTACCTCTAAAATATATTGTATTTTAAAAACAACCACATATTTATCTACAAAATATAAATTCTAATTCAAATGGAGTCCAGAACAACGCTTAATTTCAGGAGCCGACTGAATTGATAGCTACACTTTACAAATCATTCAAGACTTGAGTGAGGCTCATTTCTCAATTTAATCTCTTGGGTGTGGGAGACGGCAAGCGCGGTATCAGTAGCTCATGTGAGCTTGACTGCTGTGAGATGGTTTTGTCTCTACGGAGAACTTGACTTTCGATGTTTAATATCTCTAGTAAATTCACATCAGTGTACATATGGAAAACATTATGTATTTTTAAACCGAAATACCCAAAAAATGTTGTATGAACCAAAACTAAGTGTTACGACAAATGTTCCCTTGCGCTTTGTGAAATATACACGTCGTTTATTTCTTTACATTGTGTTTATTTCACATCGCTTTAGGCCCTATATAGTCTGTCTTACAGACCCTGATGCAAATATATATCAAATACAGCCCATGCAAGTCTATAATGTTTGGCAAGTCTAGATCACTGCAGTATCAGTATCTGAAAATGAAGAGAGTCACTGGGCTCCTTTTTATTATATTTTTATTAAGATAACTGAACAACTGGTTTTTTTCTGTACGATATGTTCATTTCAGAGACTAGATGTTAGTCTAGGCCCTAGAGTGAGGCCCGAGGTTCGATCTTATTCTGGGAGATGCTATTTTTTAAACTTTTGTTTTCGTTTGGCATACAAATCCACTGCAGGCGAAATCTGTTTTTATTCAAAATGTGTTTAGTAAGCGTGGGCATTATTTTTAAAATGTCGACGTAAGATAATATAACATTACTGTCGCTTTGACTGTGGGAAACGCGACCATGAATAAAGACACCCTAACGCATTGACAGCTTAACAACCAGGCTGTGTAACATTATGCCTGGATTACATCATATATACATTTATCTTCATTCAGGGTTTCGTTGTAAGTAATTTTCACACAAACCAAACCCTACATTTTCCCAGGAAACACCGCTAAGCGTGAAGATAGCGTCCCCCTCAGCGCACTTCATGCTGCGTGGGGCTCTGTGCGACAACAGCCGAATCGTCCCATCAAAGCGATAAGTGGAGTAGAAATCACCGACTTTATCTTAATTACCAGGCCCGAAGTAAATCAGGCAGTGCCCGAGGGGTGAGAGTTGTAAACAGTAGACGGTCGCCATGGTCACGACAATGTAACGATTACAATCTTGATATATGACCTACGTGATATTTGCTGACTGTGGAATTATTGGTATCAGTGACGCATTTAATACATGTCAATATTGAAATCTGGGCGTTGATGCGAGCAGTCTATTTTGACTTCATAAATAAGATATGTCTTAATTTGGTATCTTTTTATGTGTGTACTTAACTCGTCACTTGTTTGAATGACATTTATAAACGACGGGTTGGCGTGAACGTTTTGTTGTAACGGTATATTTCATTCGGTTATTATTCATGGCATTATTTATGCCTATAAAGTATTTATTTATCCTCAAATGTATTATTTTACTATATCCTCCAATGGTCTCTGGTCTGAGCAGAGATTGTGGAGTTTCAAGTTACAAAATGACATTCCATTAACAGACTCAGTGCTGGTCCTTATACAGAGGGGGCCTTGGGATGGTGGAGCTTTAAGACAGATAACGGAGATCATATTACCAAGCAAAAACCAATGTGTAACAGAGTAATTTGGTTCTTTATAAACACCAAGTCACCCGTGAAGATCCGGGGTAGAATAGGTCTTCAGAAACCCATGCTTGCCATAAACGTGACTATGCTTGTCGTAAGAGGCGACTAACGGGATTTGGGTGGTCAGGCTCACCGACTTGGTTGATATATGTCATCGTATTCCAATTGCGAGGATCGATGCTCATGATGTCGATCACTGGATTGTCTGGTCCATACTCGTTTATTTACCGACCTCCGTAGTAGAGCTGGAACATTGCTGAGTGCGGTGTTAAACAACAAACAAACACGAAGTATAAAAATATTGATATGTCCTGGCTCCTCCAGTTTGAACTTGACATCGTACAGAGTAAAAAAAAGTTGGGTCTGCTGTTCATGCTCGGACCCTCCTGCTGCCGAACAAAAGAAAGTGTTCACTTGAACATCGGATCTGACAGAAAAAATACAATGTCAAAATGTGACAAGGCTGACAACATAATACCCGTTTCAAATACAATACCTATGTCTCTGTGTGTGCGTGTTTGCGTACGACATTGTGTGTGTTCGTGCGTGGGTGCGTGCGTGGGTGTGTGTGTGTGTGTGTGTGTGTGTGTGTGTATGTGCGTGCGTGCGTGCGTGTGTGCGTGCGTGCGTGCGTGTGTGCGTGCGTGCGTGCGTGTGTGGCTGCTTGTGTTAGTCCGGACTAATGATGGTTTTATAGTGCTAGTCCACTACGATACCATGTCGCACTTTCACATGAATACCCCACTCAGACACAGTATACTGACTCCGAGCCGACCATTCCTCGTTTTATCCTCTAAACACTGACCGCCAGGCAGGGTAACATTAAGTAACGTCTTTTGGTATGAGGCGGCCGGGGATCGAACCATCAACCTTCCGCTCTCCGGGCAGACGCTCTGTCCACGAGACCACGGAGGCGATAAACCCAGGCAATATATCGTATAACGTTTAGACGTTTGAACATTCGACATCTTGCATTTGACGGAAATGGGCGAAGGTTCATACGAGTGAGATGTGCTTGTGCTCGAAGTCTAATTTTATAACAGTCGTGTACATAGGGGATTGTGTAACGATTTATAGTGAGACATGATCACTTCTGTACATATTCAGGTACACGCGTCTGAGGCTTATCTGCAAAGTAAAAGGCTACCCTGAGTCACAGCGTGACAAATGTATGCTAAATTGTACACGCCTTACAATTTATAAAAAAACGGTTTTGTCCAGCATCGGTTGCTGGTATTCACTTCTTAGATTTGAAACCATACAAAAATCATGAAATGTATATTAACATGTACTTAAATGCCAAATTTACTACATGCGGAAGGCATCATACAGAAGCTCTGGTTTAACTTGATCTATTAGAAAGGTGTTAAATGATTGATATAGCTTTCTTTGACATATTTGTTCCTACGCGGATTGAAGCCACTGAACCCACTACCACAGACTTATCATCACAGTGACTCTCTGTTAGGTATATCATCACAGTGAGTACCTGTTAGGTATATCATCACAGTGACTCCCTGTTAGGTATATCATCACAGTGAGTACCTGTTAGGTATATCATCACAGTGACTCTCTGTTAGGTATATCATCACAGTGACTCCCTGTTAGGTATATCATCACAGTGACTCTCTGTTAGGTATATCATCACAGTGACTCTCTGTTAGGTATATCATCACAGTGACTCTCTCTTAGGTATATCATCACAGTGACTCTCTCTTAGGTATATCATCACAGTGACTCTCTGTTAGGTATATCATCACAGTGACTCCCTGTTAGGTATATCATCACAGTGACTCTCTGTTAGGTATATCATCACAGTGACTCCCTGTTAGGTATATCATCACAGTGACTCTCTGTTAGGTATATCATCACAGTGACTCCCTGTTAGGTATATCATCACAGTGACTCCCTGTAAGGTATATCATCACAGTGACTCTCTGTTAGGTATATCATCACAGTGACTCCCTGTGAGGTATATCATCACAGTGACTCCCTGTGAGGTATATCATCACAGTGACTCCCTGTTAGATATATCATCACAGTGACTCCCTGTGAGGTATATCATCACATTGACTCCCTGTTAGGTATATCATCACAGTGACTCCATGTTAGATATATCATCACAGTGACTCCCTGTTAGGTATATCATCACAGTGACTCCCTGTTAGGTATATCATCACAGTGACTCTCTGTTAGGTATGTCATCATAGCGAGTACCTGTAAGGTATATATTTACACCGAGTACCAGTGAAGTATATCATCACAGCGAGTACCTGTGAGGTATATCATCACAGAGAGTACC